CAAAAAATATTCTCGTAGCTTCGTAAAATTACAGTTGAACCCCTGATGTCACATGGATTATTTTACAGATCTCCTTGCTACGTTTCTGGACTTGGGAACATTTCAGTTGTATTGCTGTCTATGCAGGGTCAGACAACTCTCAGATTCCATCAAAAATATCTTAATTTGTGTCCCGAAGATGAACGAAGGTCTTACGGGTTTGAAACGACATGAGGGTGAGTAATTAATGACAGAATTTTCATTTTTGGGTGAACTAACCCTTTAAGTTGGTTTTGTTCATTTATATAATATAGGCATATTACATTATATATTTTGTGTTGTGTTGCATTTATATAACTGTTTTTCAATAAAACCATGTAATTACTTGGTTTTGATACTTTATTTGAACCAATTATGATTGCCTTATCGTTAGTTTATTTATAAATATAGACATATTAAAGCCTGTTTTTCACTTAGGTCTATTTTTATTACTAAAAAAATGTCAGATTACTTGATTACCAAAATAATTGTTAGTTACGGCCCTAGATTAAAAACATTTCAAAATACAACTTCATTTTTATTTATTTTTTTGCATTTTGTGATAAGACAAATATTTTGTAATTGAAAATTTCTTAAAAATAGTATTAAAACATTGTCTCGTTCTAGTGAAACAAGTATCTGTATTTTGTCTCATCTCATGAGCTAAGTTTATTGTCACACCCCTAGTATCTACGAGCGTTATATAGCTTATATTTCAAGTGTATGATATTGCTTTCATTCCTCAGGTCAATCATTTATTCATAAAATAAAATCAGTTTGAATAAGGAAAGCGATATCTTTGCCATAGTATCCTTTTGAATGTTAAAGTGGCCACAGTCATTGCATGCTTTGCTTGTGCTGCACTTTATTTGTACCATTTTGTTTTTAGTTTATTTATTAAAATTTGTAAGTTAACAATATTGTTTAATAAGTGAGATCTCTGATTTTTAGGCCTGCCCCCTAATAGTCGACTAATCGTTAGTCGACCAGAAGAGGCTTGGTCGACCAAAATTTTATTAGTCGCAGAAAAAAAAAATCCACATTGGTGAAGTCGCGCAGATCGTTAATGGCTGGTCTATGGTATGGTACAGTACATCTGGCAGGACATCCAAACGCTCGCCTATCATTCATCCACCACAGGCTTATCATCTGAAATATGTAAGTATGTATTAGCAACTTTACATGGCCGCTCAATCTAATGTTAACCTAGAGAAATGTCCGTTATTCAAGTGTCTGTGCGGAAGCTGAACACTAGCGATCACTGCAGGACAGACGGAGGCGCCGGTGCATTCACTTGCTCTTAAAATACTCCGTAAATACTCATACAGATAAGAGTAATACATCTTTCAAATCTGTAAAGACTCTACGTTTATTTGTGTGCATTCACAATAACAAATCGCGCTTTTGTAAAATAATGAAAGCAAACAGGATGCGCTTTCTGCCGTCTCGGTCTGTGAACTTGAGTGCGAAACTCCGTGTAGCCTATATCTTTGCCTTACAGACATTACAAATATATCTATAGAGAGAGAAATGTCTACTTTCAAATGAACCAATTCAAATGGAAAACAAATATTCTCAGATTATGTAATCCGTATGAAACATGCATACAGGTGCATCCCACTACTGTGGAGATGACGAGTCAGTGTCGCCGACTTCATCTCTTAAACCGAAACAAAGAAAGCACTTGTTTATCAGTGAATTATTAAAATGTTAATACAGCCTCCTTACTGTTTTTCCCTGACACATTCATAATCATAGCTTCTGCGGTGCGCTGTGGCAGGCTTTATGCGTGCGTTTGAGCTAGGGCTGCACGATAAATCGCATGCGATATTTAACGCGCATCTTGTCAGAAAGCCGGTTCTGTAATCAGCGGTAAATCTCCATCACCTGCGGGCTTTCACATTGAGCAGCATTAATTACACAGAGCCGTTGTTCACTGACGAGCTGCGCAAAACCACGTTCATATTCGCGCGATTTTTTGCGCAGCTCGTCAGTGAATAAATTAAATTATTTAAATAACTGAAAAGATACTTTAAAAATGAAACTAAAACTGCCAGCAG